AGAGACACACAGAGACACAGAGACACACAGAGACACACACATGATTTATCATGAAACAACCAGTTTCTGTTGCAGAGAATCATGAAGACTTTGAAATACTGGAATCAGGACACGCTGAAGGAAAAGATCTTAAAAACAGTTGGAAACACATGAAACTAGAATCTAAAGCAGAACGTGTGGATTCTTTCATCGACTTGTTCTTGATGTTTTTGAAGACATGATACTTTGCTCTATGATGAAAGTCTGTACGCTCTCTGACAAGGTGCACTGATTTCAAACCCTTTCATTTGTCTCTGATCTTTTTATTTCCCTAATATATTTTCTCCTCTCTCATTCAGCTCCATTGTGTCTTGTATCCGTCTGTGTATGTTTTCTTCTACAAACTGTTCCAAACGAATTGTCCCCAGTGGGATTAGTAATGTGTGTGCGTGTGCACGTTGTGTGTGTGTGTTTGCGTGCACAGGGACCTACACGCTGATCGGTCTGGATCGGAAACCGTGCATCAAAGTCACCATGGGAGCAGAGTACATCGTGGTCCAGAAGAAGGTGAGAGGCTGTGACTGGCTCAGCACTGTGTGTGTGTGTGTGTGTGTGTGTGTGTGTGTGTGTGTGTGTGTGTGTGTTTTCCTGTCTGTTTGTGTGAACGTTTTATTTTTCAGTATTTTTTGTCGTGTTGCAGAAAGAGTGTATTTGTGTCAGCATCAGTTTCTGAGGCGTCAGAATCTGGTTTCCTGTTCAAACTCAACTTTCAAAGAAAAAAAAAAGAAGAAATTCAGAGCGATCCAGTGAAACACAGAATCAACACGAACACACATCGAATGTCTCTTAAACATAAACACCAGACGGACATTTCTCTACCTTTTGCACAAATCAATGAACAAGGCGTGAAGAGGCGATGACTCCATTGACATAAGAAACGTTTCTCTGCTGTTCTCGCTCTAAAGACCTGGTACTACAGCTTGGACCCGTCCAGGGTCAGGACCGGCGGCTACTGTGGCAAAGTAGTTGCTGTTCTCTCTCTGATGCTGCCGAACAACGCCGCCAGTCTGCAGCTCTACTTCAGAAAGGTACAAACACACAGACCTCAGACCAGCAACCAGACATTTAACAGCGTGTGTCACATGTTCCTGTCATATCAAAATGATAAAAACCACTTGAGTCATTCTTGAGTCTTTAAGGTTCCGTATGTCGTTTAAAATCTGACGAGGTCACGTTTGTTCATTTGGTCAAACTGTGCATCTGTTCATAATTCAGAGATTTCTCACTCCTGTATTTGTCTCTGCAGGAAAAGAATGTTTTCTATGTCACCAAGGTGACGGCTCACCTGGCTCCTCTGCCTGTTTGCCAAAAATGCTCCAGTAAGACCGGACAGATAAAAACAGAGTCTCTGGATGTTTTCATCTTTACTTTCCAGCTGTGAAACGAACCGGTCTGTGTTTTACCTCCCAGATAAGACGTACTCTGGCCTGTTGGACCACGACAAGTTGTTCCAAGCAGACAACGGTCGCAGCTTCGCGTGCAAATCTGAGAGTTTGCTTTTGATGTCGTCCGAGCTGAAGATCAAACTGGTCCCTCTGCAGTTTCAGGCCTTCACTCTGACCAACGGACGCTTTGGAAAAGGTGAGCGAGCTCATCGACGACCTGGAGCTGCACGAGTGCGATGAAGTTAAAAAAAGCTGATATTTATATTTGTCATGAACCGGGGATCTAACTATAGACATACTCTGGTGGTCAAACCAACTTCACTGACTTTGACATGTAGCAGATATATAAAAACCTGCACCAGTAACAGCTTGTTGTGTGAACGTACATTAACTTCTGTGTTAACCTGTGTGCGTTCTTCTCGTGTTCTTCAGTTTGACCTCAGGTTAAATTCTTTCTCTGACGGTCACAGTTCCTGAGAAACTTGAGTTTAGTTTCCTGTTTGACTTCAGCACAGTTCAACAGATCAGATATTCAAGCTGCCGTAACAAATTCAACACTTGAGGCAAGAAGTGATTTAGAAAATGTCTCCACCGTCCTTATCGCTGTGGGACATGTGGACGAGGAGGAGGAAGCTGTGTCAGATCAAATTCGTGTAAATAGTCTGATCTGTGACGTTTGTACTGACGGTGAATTTTCTGGACGTACCGCGAGCTCCGTGCTGTTGATGGTGAAGGTTTGTGATGATACGTCGGACGGAGTTTAAAAGTGGAGTGGAAATGATGCAGGATGTTTGAGAGCCGTCCTGCAGTGATGAATCATGGGAAACAGCACTGCGGTGAGGCCTTCGCTCAAAAGAAGAAGTAAACTTATCTACGAAGCTGCAAACGAGACTGAATCTCTCTGAACATCTCTTCTTCCTCCAGCTCGTCATCTTTAGCCTTGATTGTTTGTGACCTCTGTTGCAGAGGTGGAGTGCTGGGCTGACTACAACAAGCGAGTGATTCCCATCGTCATCGGGGCCACGGTGCTGTGCATCATCCTGATCGCTGTGCTGACCTTCCTCCTTCTCAAAGACCGCAACAGACAAGGCTACGACAGCCTCTGAGAAATCTCCTCCTCCTCCGTTTGTGTTTTCTCCTTGTAACCGGTGTGAACCTGAATTTACATTTGGATTAAATGTGTCTTTAATTTCAGAGATGACTTTATTTCAGTTTGGTTTCATTTTCTGATTTGTTTGTATTTTAAAAAGTTATTTAATAAAAACGGAGACTGAAAAGTTTTAAGATTAATTAACTGTACACAGACAAAATCCACAATCAATTCAGATGGCTGCGCTCCAGGTGCATGCTGGTCCTGGATCTGTCTATGGCACAGAACTGTGAAATGTTTTCGTTTCTTTTTTAGAAACCTCTCTTCTTGTCA